ACTGCTAGTTGATGTTTACTGAATCAAGTGACTATTCATATTATTTTTATTTTATTATATATCTATTTATATTTTTATATTAGGCGTCCTTTTCTTTCTGTTGGTTTATACAAAATGGAAAAAGTATGAAAATCAGTTATTATTTATAATTTCATTGTTAATATTCTATTATACTATAATATCAATGCAATGCTAGTAGTATTAATAAACTATTCAATTGTTTTTTTTTTTTTGTCTTTTTCTCTTTTTCTACTGCCTACTGCACTTCCTTTCCCATTACGTCATCCTTTTTCATTAACGCTGACTAATTCGTCGATAAGAGAACATATTACATAAAACGTTTATTCATAACGCGTTTTTACTCGTGTGCGACAAAATATTAATTTACATAATGGATCACGTTTAAATCAGCGAGACAAATTGACGACGGGGGATCAATAATGACGCATTGTTGCGATTAATTTTGCTAGCGTTGCCTGGCAGTGACACGTATTCGATATCGAATTTCCCTGATTACCGTGACAGGAGGAATGCATAACAATATATTCAATCGAGGGGAAAAAAAAGCAGTGCAGGTGTACGAGCATCGTCATAGTCACGTTGGTTCTTCTACGACTGAAACTGAATTCGCAGCATGTCATCTTCACGCTACGTCTTCCTTCTTCCTCTTCTTTTGGGTATTTTTGTCAACATTTCTCGTCGAGTGTTTAATTCAAATTTTATTAATCGATCTCACGCGCCTCACATTTCTTTTCGAAAAAGAAATACGAAAATATTTTCGAAAAAAATTAAAAATTTTGCAGTGATTGGGACACGCGATAGAATGGGATTTGCACTTACTTTGGACAAAGTTGCATTATATGAAAACTGTACAGTTTTTGACAAATCGGATATATATGGCGGTCCAGTATGCGGTGATAATGGGGTAACATACGCTAATAGTTTATACTTGGATTGTAAAAATCATTACACTCGTGATACTGGTAAGTAGAAAAAAATAACGATTTTTATATATATATTATATATGTATATATATCTATATATATGTATATATATATATATCATAAAAATATTTACGATAAATATTATTAAATATTATTAATTTTAAAAGAAAGATTATTGTCAACTGTGCTTAGCAAATTTTGTAAAATCTTACATGTATCTAAGCGAGTTGATTAAAATAACAAATTGTTTTTTAAATACATCTGTCTTTACTGACCATTTTAAAATTTATCTTGTTCATCATATATGCTAAATGCCTAAAAATATTAATAAATCAAATCTCGAAAGAATAATAAGATATTAATGCATTTGAGATACATTGCAGGTCTTGCAGAAGCAGTTTACGCGAATAAAAAATTTTGCTCGACGAACTTTTCCTGACGATTTAAGGTAAAATTCTTTTTAGTTGCCACATTACACTCCGGTCCGTGCTTGGAGAACGAAGAATATTGCAGCATCAATCTATATTACGAGCCAGTTTGCGGGTCGGATCGTAAGATTTACACTAATATGCAATCTCTGTTATGCGTTCGTCGTAAGCAATCGAAAGGTAAGGTATCCGAAAAAGATAATATTCATCGTTTCGTTTTTTTCACGTGCATGTTTAACTCCTGTTAAATCAAAATTAATAAAAATTTAGAAAGAGATTGATTTTAATCACTCTCTACATATTTTTCAACTCTTTCTCATATTTAAAAAAAAAAAAATTCTACTTCTATTAAAAAATTATATTTAACAAAAGAAATATTTTTTATTATTTGTTATACATATTATGTTTCTGCTTGATAATTAAAAAATTCCGATTATCAGGTTTAAAACGAGCAGTGCGAGCATATTTTATTAGATGATATTTTTCATCACTAGCTAATCGTGAACGGAGAAGTTCTCACCGGAAGTTTATGACTCTTTTCCCATGATCCATTCCAGATTTAACAGCCGTGCCGATGAAGGACTGCCAACAGAACGATTACTGTTACCGAAGCGGCACTGAGCATTACGGTGTGAATCCGGTCTGCGCTAATAATGGACTCACTTATCAGAACGCGGCGCAGCTCAAATGCCTGCAACGACATAATCCCGGTAAGGGATTTCGCCGGAAGTTAAGCGTTTAATTATGATTCGGCCTAATTGCCGGCAAGTAGTCGGAAATAACGTTCAAACTCCTTCGACGTGGTACCTTCGCGCTCTCTTAAGTCTCGCGACGTGTCGTGCAGAATTAATTTGGAGTCCTTGCTTTGAGCTAAACGTTTCATCGGCATAACCCAATTATCCTTTTACATGATACATTATGATTTACATCCGAATCGAAATGTTTATCTATCATCGTGATGATAGATTTTTCAATTCGCAATCGTCAAAGATCAAGTAAATCAGTATATTATATATATATATATATATATATATATATATGTGTGTGTGTGTGTGTGTGT